AAGAGCCGGGTCTTTCAGAGGAGCAGCAGGTGAGCTGGGTTCTCTTGTCCATCATGGGATTTGGCAGTGGGATTCAGGCTCGGTCTCATAGGCTGGGAGCATTTATTTGGTCAGACAGAGTATGCTTCATACCACTAGGGCCACATTTTTCAAGATGGTGGAGACAGAGTGATATTTGGGAGATAAAACATTTGAGAGGTATGAGATGGTAGGAAAGACTTCAGAGAAAAGGAAAAGTCATACTGAACTGTCTGCTTTCCATAGACATTCTCGTTTTGGGGGATCCTACGTCATCCAGGGCCTGAAATCCATTGGAGACAGGGATGTTGTCTTTCATAAAAGTCTACACAATGTGAGTAGAGGTGTGGTAAGTTCTCTGTGCAGCTGCAGTTGGTATATGGTCTCAGTAGAGGGGACCAAGAGGCAAAGAGAAAGCTTTGTCAGGACTGAAATCACCTGTTTCAGACATAAGAACTATGGTATTGTGTCCTGCTCATCTAAAAGCCTAGCACCAGGGAGAGAAATTCCCTGGGAGTCCATGCAGAGAAAGGAGCAGAGATATACATGGAAGGAGCTGGGGATTGAGGTGCCACCAGTGACACTGAGGTCCTTTCCAGGTCTGCATTGATGATCTTACAACTCTCTCCTAACTCTTTCTCTAGTTTCAAACCTACAGCCCAGATATGGGGAAAGATACTCGCTATGTGCCCCGGCGTCGTCAGATTGCCCAGGACCACTCCCTCCAGCGCCGTTCAGCCCTTAACGTGCGCCTTTTCCTCCGTGACTTTTGCTCTGAGTTCTTGGAGAACTGTTATAACCGCCTCATGGGCCTGGTCAAGGTGAACTTTGGAAAGACTCTGTAGGGGGATTAGGAAGAGACTTAAGGGATAGAATGAAAACATAGGGAGAGAGGTTAAGAAAAGAGATGGGGGGAAAAAAGGAGATTGGGAAGGGTAGAAAAGAAATGAGTATTAGGAACTTGGGCAGCTAGTCAATGCAGTGGATAGAGCGCTGGGCCTGGAGTCAGGAAGACTCATCTTCATGAGTACAAATCTGGCCTCAGACATTTACAGCTGTGTGACTCACTTAACCCTGTTGGCCTCAGTTTCCTCATCTGTAAAAATGAGCTGGAGAAGGAAATGGCAAATTAGTCCAGTATCTTTGCCAATAAAACCCCAAATGGGACATGAACAAAAACAACAAAATTAGGAACTCATGGGAATTTGCTTCAAGGATATGACTCTAGATGAGGAAAAGCCCTGAGAGTTTCCCTGACCTGTGGGAGAGGGGGTGGTAGGAGATGATAGGACATTATAAGAAATGACTAGAAGGAAGGAGCAGTGAGGAAAACACAGGTAGAAGAACTGAAAGGGTGACCCTAGAGGATGTATAAGGAGGTATGAAAAGACCTTGGAAGACCAAGAGAGTCAGCAGCCCTGGGGCTCTCAGTTATCAGTAGGTTACTGGGTGAAAAAGAGGCTGGGTAGGGGGCCTGCTATTTTGTCATGATAAGGTATCCTCTTCCCTGGCATTAGGACCACCTGCTCCGGGAGAAAGCACAGCAACATGATGAGACATACTATCTGTGGGCATTGGCCTTCTTCATGACCTTCAACCGTGCCTCCAATTTTCGGCCTGGCTTGGTTTCAGAGACTCTTAGTGTCCGAACTTTCCATTTCATTGAACAAAACCTTACCAATTACTATGAGATGATGCTAACTGACCGGAAAGAAGCTGTCTCTTGGGGTCGCCGGTGAGTTGCGTGGCAAAAATTTTTTTCTGATCATTCTGGAATCCTAGGTTCTGGCTGCGTGACCCTTTGGACAGCACTCTGTCTTTGCTCAAGATTCTGGTCATCAGAATAAGGAGGTTGGGGTAGGGTGGTGGGCAGCCTGCTGCTCGTCTTCCAGCCTCTAATTGTCAGAAGTTTGTTGCCAGATTCCTATATCTTCTCCTTTTCATTTTGTGCCCTTCCTCTCAAACCCTGCAGAATGCACCTAGCTTTAAAGGCCTATCAGGAACTCCTGGCCACAGTGAACAAGATGGACACGTCTGCAGATGAAGCAGTGAGGGAGAGTAGCCGCATCATCAAGAGTAAGGCAGGCCGAAGCAGGGGGAGATAGAAGGAATGGCAGATTAGGGGAAGGGGTATTCAGAATGCATGCTGTCTTGGGGTGGAGGGAGGGATGAGATGGGGAGAAAATTTGGAACTCAAAATCTTATGGAAGTGAATGTTGAAAACTAAAAATAAGTTAATTAATAATAAAAGAGTAAGGCAGGTCTTACTCTCTTAGCCCTCTCTGTGTCACTTCAGTAGCATTTTACTCTGTCATCTCTATTTCTTACCCTTTCTTCTTTAGCTCTGTAGAAGCCTTCAGGCTGGTCCTCTTTTCTCTTTGCTTCTTTCTAGACAATGTCTTCTACATAATGGAGTACAGAGAACTATTCCTGACTCTCTTTCGGAAATTTGATGAGACACGCCAGCCCCGCTCTTATCTCTGTGACCTGGTGGAGACAACTCATCTTTTCCTTAAGATGTTAGAACATTTCTGCCGAAGCCGTGGAAATCTAATGGTTCAGGTATCAGGAATTGGGAGGGCAGTGGTTTGGAGGTAGGAGATCAAACTTCTTCACAATTTTTTTCCTTCAAAAAAGTTTTAAAATTACAAAGTAGAAAATCATCAACAAATATGTACATTTCCATATATGAAGAAAACTAGAAAGTAGGGATTATACATGAAATCATGAATCTACTACATGTAACTTGTTCTTTTTTTTTATTTTATATTCATTTATTTTGATTTGTCAACAATAATTTCCATAAGCTTTTGAGTTTTAAATTTTTCTCCTCTTCCCTCCCCAAGATGGTGCGCAATCTGATATAGGCTTTACATATACATTCCTATTAAACATATTTTCACATTAGTCATGTTGTAAGGAAGAATTAGAACCAATAGGAGGAACCACAAGAAAGAGGAAACAAAACAAAACAAGAAAAAAAATAGCAAATGGTATGCTTCTAACTGCATTCAAACTGCATAGTTCTTTCTTTGGATGTGGATAGCATTTTCCATCATGCGACTTTTGGAGATGTCTTAGATCCTTGCATTGCTGAGAAGGGCTAAGTCTATCAGAGTTAGTCATCACACAGCATGGCTGTTACTGTGTGCAGTGTTCTCCTGATTCTGCTCACTTCACTCAGCATCAGACCAAACAAGTCTTTCCAGGTTTTTCTGAAGTCTGCCTGCTCATCATTTCTTATAGAACAATAGTATTCCATTACATTCATATACTACAACTTGTTCAGCCATTCCCTGATTGATGGGTATCCCCTCAATTTCCAATTCTTTGCCACCACAAAAAGAGCTCCTATAAATATTTTTGTACATGTGGGTCCTTTTCTCATTTGTATGATTTCTTTGAGATACAGCCCTAGAAGTGCTATTGTTGGGTCAAACGGTATGCACATTTTTCTAGCCCTTTGGGCATAGTTCCAAATTGCTCTCCAAAATGGTTGGATCATTTCACAACTCTACCAGCAAAGCATTAGTGTTCTAGTTTTCCCACATCTTCTTCAGCATTTATCATTTTCCTGTTTTGTCATGTTGGCCGATCTGATAGGTGTGATGTGGTACCTCAGAGTTGTTTAGATTTGCATTTGTCTAATCAATAGTGATTTAGAGCATTTTTTCACATGACTATAGATGGCTTTAATTTCTTCATCTGAGAACTGCCTGTTCATATCCTTTGACCATTTATCAATTGGGGAATGACTTGTATTCTTATAAATTTGACTTAGTTCTGTATGTGTTTTAGAAATGAGGCCCTTATCAGAGACACTGGTTGTAAATGTTCTTTTTAATATATTATAAATTGAATGGTAGTCCCAACATTAGTAGTACCTGCTTGTTTGGGAACCCTACTTTGGTCTCCTCTGTATTTTTTCAGTGTTTCATTGATGCTTCTTTTTTCCTCTGTTCTTTTTTTGGCATTATTCTCACTATCCTCTGCCCCTCACCTTTTTCTCTTCCACCTTTCCTTGTAACAAAAGTATAGTCAAGCAAAACAAATTTGTGTTGTAATAGAAATATATGTCTCATTCTGCACCTATGCTACAAGCTATCACCTTTGCAGCTGGAGGTGCTTCATCAGTCTTCTGGAGTTGTGATGAATTATTCTGTTAATCAAAATTCTTATCGTTCAGAGTTGTTCTCCTTTAAAGTGTTGTGTTTATTATATAGATAGTTCTCTTGGTTGCTTACTTTTTGCTGTATTAATTCATACAAGTCTTCCTAGATTTCTCTGAATCTTATCTCTTACATAGGGAGCTTTTCCTTCTTACCTTCTCTTCAACCAATTCAAAGCTCCGGACCTTCTCTCTCTGAGTGACTATGGCAAGGATTTGTTAGCATTCCAAATCCCAACAAACCTGCCACACCGTTCCCTTCCTCCTGCCCTGCCAGCATAATTCTGGCCTCCCAATCTAAACATACTACTGAAACTTTACAATTAGATTACAATATTTCTATGATGTGGTCTCTTGGGAGGCAGCATGGTCTAGTGGGAGGAGTGCACTGTTCCCAGTTTGGTTGAGCCTGAAAAACCTTTTAATGGCAAAAATTTTTTGTGAACTTTCCCATGATAGTAGTTGTGCTGAGTGTCTTGGATTGACAAAAAGCTGCTACATATTCAGTAACGCATCCAAGTGGAAGCTCATGTTATTAATCACAACAGTGTCTCCAGAGACATTTTTAAAAAGTTAACAACATTTACATGCGACACATATGTATTTAATCTACAGAAAGTCTATTTGCATGTTAATCATAGTGAATCATATGACACATGCGTGATGCAAACGTGGATTTGCACACATGGTGCAGTAACTCTGCAGCCCCAGAGGGGCCCTCGGCTCACATGTGGGGAACCATTTGTGGAATGAAAAGAACCCAACCTAAAAGTCAGACAACTTCCACTACAGTCCTAATTCAGCCACTCAGCCATCTTGAATAAATCATTTATTCTTTTTGTATCACAGTTTCTTCAGCTATACACTTCCGAAAATGCCCTACCAGAGGAGACATTGTGAGGACAAAATGAAATGATGATTTAAAATGTTTGATTGAGTTTAATTTAGCAGACATTTAGATCAAACTGCTATGTTAGACATGTAGAGAAGAAGGCCTGGGTTTGCATCCGCCTCAGATACTTAGTGGCTATTTGATCATGGGCCAAGTCACTTAACATTCTTGAGGCTTAGTTTCCTCATCTGTCAAATGAGAGCATTGAACCTGTTGACTGCTAAAGTCCCTTCCAGCTGTCATGACTCAGATTTTAACAAAAGGGTAAACTAAGGCAGATCTCTGTACCAGATAACATTTACTAGCAGGGGCACGCTACCTGTTAATAAATGGGTCAATGGCTCGTCTCCATTAATGCAGAGGAAGAGGACAGTTCCCCTTTTGTAGGGTTTGGGGAGTACAGACCAAAGAACAGAGCAGAGTAGGTGGGATCATGGAATTAAAGGCAATATGACTGGTTATAGAGCTGAGGCACAGGGTACAACCGTATTGGTTGGAAGTTTGGTAATGGGGGCTAGCAACAACCCCCCTTCTCTCATGAGACTAAGAAGTGCTCGTTGTTTGAATCCAGGTGTGAGACAGTGGCCCAGACTTTTGGACAGCAAACCAGACATCTTGAAGGATAGCCTGGGGCCATAAAGATATCAAGCCCAAACTCCATTGCTTTCTCACACATTCTCTAAGGTCAGTTAAATTCCATGAGGCAGGGGAGCTGGATTTTTAAACTTAACCCATTACAGGCCAGCTGAACTGTGAACTAAGTTCAGAGACAAAGCTGAGAAAGCTACCAAAGATTCTTGAATATTTGAGTAATATAATCAGTTCATTAGGAAGATGACACTGGCAATGGTGAATAACATAGATTGGGACAGAAGGAGACTGGAGGTAGAGAGCCTGGGAGACATTACAGTGGTCCAGGGTGAGAGGTGAGGAGTGCCTGGATTAAGATGTTGGCAGTGGTAATGGAATACCAATAATAATAATAATAATAATAATAACTATGTAGCATTTTAAGGTTTGAAATGTGCTTTAGGCCCATTATCTCATTTGTTGCCTCGCACCAGAACCATGATTTAGGTAGTACAGAGGTGGCCTTATATTCATTTTATAGACTAAGACCCTTAGATTCAGGGGGGATCAAGTGACTTGTCTGTGTTACCCAACTAGTAAGTATCAGAAATAGGATTCACATCTAGGCCTCCTTGACTGAGCCTGACCCTCTAGTCATCAGGCAGTTCTTCCCTCTCAAATGGAAAAGAAGAGATGGATAGATTGGAGATGTACTGGGGTGTTAAATCTATTGGATTTAGAAGTTGATTGGATAGTAAGTGGGGTTGCAAAAGGAAGCATCAAAAGAGGACCCCATGGTTTGAAGCACATGTGACAGAGACTGGTGATGCCAATAACAGGAATAGGGATGTTCGAAGGAAGAGCAGGTCCTCGGCCAAAGATGTGCATGTGTGGAGGCCCAGGGAGCTTGAGGTACCACGGTGACAAGCCAGTGGAACTGTGGGATGTTGTCGGAAATTCGGGCCTGCAGCTGGAGAGAGAGAGCCTTGGTGAAGCGATGGATTGGGGAGAAGCCATTTCAAATTGGCAGCTGAAGATAGTGGGTGAGGGAGCCATGGAGAAGAGGGCTAAGGGCAGAGCCCAAGAGAAGAGTTATACTGTAGAGCATGAGAAAAGAGAGTGGACTTATGGGTGTTATGCTGGAATTTTGCTGTAACATTCTGTTACAGGGTGAGATTCTTTGTCAGGAAGTCCTCATGACTGAAGAACCAAAGGAATCTTATACAAGGTGGTTTTCCCAGTAGGGCTCCAGGAATGTTGTCAGTAACCCAACTAGTCTGTAAGTTCATTGAGGGTAGAGACTTCTTTTTGGAATGACCTTCACTTGTGCAGATTGGCACCTTTCTTGCTACTTAGTTGTGGAGTTGTTTAGAGGGGAGCATGACTTGCCCAGGGTCACACAAACAGTATGAGTATGTGGCAGAGGTGAGACTTGAACCCAGGTCTTCTTGACTGCAAGGCTGGCTATCAACCCACTGTGCCACATTATAATAAACAAGCAAAATTTAGGTAGCACTTTCGGTTTGCAAATCACTTTGCATAAGTATTTGATTTGCTCCTCACTTCAGTCCAATTAAGGTAGGTACTAATATTATCCTCATGAGGAAAGTGAGTCTCACATTATATGACTTGCCCAGGATCACATAGTTAATAAGTGTCCGAGATGAGATTTGAACCCTGGTCTTTCTGACTCCAATTCAGCAAGCTATCCACTACTACACCATGCTTTCTCTATTTAATACGAACTCCACGCAGCTAGTACATATTATGTCCCATTTAAATGCAATACAGCTGATCCACCAATGAGAAGGGCTGTTTTGGTGCAGACAATGGAAGTTCCTCACCCCACAGAGGGACTGAGGACTAATGATAAATTGAGATAAATTGAGAATTTCAGCCATTGCTATGAGAGGGGAGGATTGGCCACCCTGGGTGTCCTGCCAACTGTGGTAGAACTGATACTTCCCCCACCAACCCCAACTTTATGCTCCTCAACAGAACAAAAGAAGAAGGAAGAAGAAGAAGAAGGCACACCCTCAGTCCCCAGCCTCTGCTGGTAATGGTCCCTACCCCCCAGAGGGCGTGTGGCCAGCCCTTGCCGAGCAGCTGAAGCACTGTGCCCAGGTGGGTGTCTGCAGAGACTATGAGTAGGGCACGGCTAGAAAACACTTCTTTCTTGCCTTCACAACCTTGTCTTTCCCTAGAATTCTGAACTCACTCTGGACTCTGTGGTTCCCTTTGATGCTGCTTCAGAGGTGCCCGTGGAAGAACAGCGGACAGAAGCTATGGTGCGGATCCAGGACAGTCTCCTGGCTGGCCAGGCCCCCGAGGCCCTAACCCTTCTTCGGTCAGCCAGGTTAGAGCCCTGCCTATCCATCTTCCTGGGCCTGCAGTGCAGATGCTTCATCTTTTGTGACCCCTCCATGGAGTGACACCCTCACAGCTATAGTGGTGGTAGCTTTTTCTGGTCTTCTGCAGGCCAGAAACCAGGTCAGATTCTCTGAAGCTGGGCCCTGAATACAGGGTCCCCTAGCGTTTTAATTTTGATACTTAAAGGTACCTAGGCCTTGCTACTTTCATGGCCAACAAATGGAGTAATTCTATTAATGCTAAATCCTTCCAGATACCAGATCTGCCCTGAATAGTCTATACCTTTCCTCTTATTTTCCAGAGAAGTATGGCCAGAAGGAGATATATTTGGCTCCCCAGATTTTTCCTTGGAGGAAGAAATTGAGCTGCTGAGACAGATCTTCTCTGCCCCACTTCCTCGTGAGTACCTGGCTTCTTCATATCCTTTTCTCTAGGTACAGAGGGAATGAATGGATGAAAAAGTGTTGTTAAGAGCTGGTGACTCCTCAAATTACCCCCTGCTGTTTCCCCTCACTGTTTAATAGGGCAGCAGGAGCCTGAAGAACAAGGTGGGGAGGAAGAAGGAGAGGAGGAGGAAGAGGAAGAAGAGGAGTTGCAAGCTGTCCAGATTTTGGAGAAGGAGTTTAACTTTCTAGACTACCTCAGACGGTGAGAGAGAAATGGGAGATGGAGGGAGTTGTCTCTATGGGTACAAGGAGAGGAGGAGAGTATCCGACTTCTAAGTCCTCTTTCTCCTTCTTTGTGTTTGATTATAGCTTTGCATGCTCAGCTGTTGTCAAAGCCTGTGTACTATTACTGCAGAGCTACCAGAAGAACAGCCCCTATACCAATCATTGTGTGGTTAAGATGCTTCACCGACTGGCCCACGACCTCAAAATGGAAGCCTTGCTCTTCCAGATCTCCCTCTTTTGTCTCTTCCATCGGCTATTTAATGACCCTGCTTCTGGAGCCTATAAAGTGAGGGGAAACTGAGGGGAATAGAAGTAGAGGGAGCCCTAGACTAGGTGAAAGGCAGAGGGATGGAGATGTCAGTGAAGAAAAGGGACAATGAAGGGATGTGGAGAGCTGAGGAACAAGGAATGAAGGGACATGGGCTGGGTGGGGAGAGAGATCTAAGAAAGTAAGGGAAACAGTTTCCAGAGTTGAACTGAGGGTACAGGGAGCTGATTGTTGGGAAGGCTATTAGGAGAGGGCCAGGGATGTAGTGAGGTAGGGTCGGGGGGGGGGGGGGCGCGGCTTACAACAACTACCTGATCCTTTCCTGCTCTAATTCCCCACTTCCCCCAGGAATTGGTCACTTTTGCCAGATATGTGCTGGCCAAGTTCTTTGCATTGACTGAAGTCAACCGCAAGGCTTTTGTGGAACTTCTCTTCTGGAAGAACACGGCTGTTGTGCGGGAAATGACTGAGGGCTATGGTTCTCTGGATGCTGAGTAAGTGTAGGCAAGGGGAGGCTGTCGAGGAAGGACAGAGACTCCAGGGAACTTTCAGGAGGCTGTTATAGAGGGGGAGCTGGGCTCCTAGAAAGACAATATTGCCACCCGACCTCAAGATAATTTGGAGAAACCTCAAGAATTCACGTGAATGTGACTGTGTCACAGTGAAAATGCAGGGCAAAGCCTGTACCCCCTTGTCCCTGGAACCGTCTTGCCTGGACTGCTTTCTTCTCATGGTTTTCCTTGCCCTCTCAAGTTCTCTTGATGCGTTTGCCCTCCACCTGAAATACCCCCAGCTCCTGATGTGGGCATGACATAGGAAAATGCTGCTTATATCCTTAACTGCATAGGGAAGGGAGGGAAGGCAGGCAGACCCATGCCCACTTCCCTCATGACTTATTTGGCTTGATTTCCTTTGTACTTAAAGATCTTCTCCTTTCTGGGTCTGGTAGGGAACCTCCATGCCTTTTGCTCCTCCCACTTTGGCTAGCAATTCCATTCCTTCCCCTCCCAATCTCTTGTAGGTCTTCTAACCGAAAGCCTCCCAAGTGGAACCCAGAGGAGGAAAAACAGCTACGAGAGCTATATCTGGCCCACAAAGACATAGAAGGTAATGTGAGAGCATGGGTATAATCAATCAACCAGCATCTTTTGAGTGTGTACCAAATGCCAGTCACTGGGCATGCAAAGACAAAAATGAAACAATATTGGGAGACTGTGTGTGTGTGTGTGTGTGTGTGTGTGTGTGTGTGTGTACACAAAATTAATACAAAGTAATTTTGAGGAAGAAGTGATAGCTGGGGTGGGGAGATCAGGAAAGGCCTTACATAGAAGATGCTTGAGCTGAGCTTGGAAGAAAAGTAACCATTCTAAGAGTTGATTATGAGAAGAAAGTGAATTCTGGGAGACTGTGCAAGGGCACAGAGATATGTGTAAAATTTACAAGAAGGCTGGTTTGGATAGACCATTGAATACATGAAGGGCAGTAATGTATAATGAGTCTAGAAAGGTAGCTCGGAGTTAGGCTTGGGAAGAATTGTAAATACCAAATAGCAGATTGTGTGTTTGACCGCAGAGGTAAAAGAGAACCACTGGAGTTTATTGAGCAAGAGAACGATGTGGTCAAAGTGACATGCTTTGGGAAAATCCCTCTGGCAGCTGCGTGGAGGATGGATTAGAGGGGAGAGGTGGGGAGATCAATGAGGAAGCTCTTGTAGTGGTCCTGTTGAGACATGATAGAGGCTTGAACAAAAGTGGTCACTGCATGAGTAAAGAGAAGGGGAAAGATATGAGAGATGTAGAGGTACATCACAGAGCTTGGAAATTGATTGAATATGTGGGATGAGGGGAAGGGACAAGTCCAGGTTGAGTTCAAAGTTGTAAACCTGGAAGGCTGGGGGTGGGGCAGGGGAATAGTGAGTTCTCTTTTGGACATGTTGAATTTAAGATGGTTGTGGGACACCCATTTTAAAATGTCCAGTAGGCAATTGGAGATGTGAGACTCAAAGCTTAGTAGAGACAAAGGCTGAAAATATAGCTCTGGAAGTCATCTGCATTGAGATGATAATTAAACCCATGGGAGCTAATCAGTTCATCAAAAGTGATAAAGAGAATAGGGAAGAGGGCGCAGGAAAGAGCCTTAGGTTACACTCAATGAGATATTAATGATGATTTAGCAAAAGGGACTGAGAAGTGGTCCAAGAAAGGTCATTGAAAGTCATAAGGCAGCTTGGCGTAGTGGAAAGAATGCTTGCTATGGAGTGAAAAAGACCCAGCTTTGAAATCCTAGCCCTGCCACTTAGTACCTCCTAACTTTGGGCAACTCACTTGACCTCACTAGCTTTCAGTTGGCAAAGGAGCTGAACTAGATGACCTCTACATTCTTTTCCAGTTGTAAATTTACATTCCAGTGAAATATATGACCCAATAATGCTTTGAGCCCAGAAGGGCTTGGAATGGAGTCCAGTGAGCTCTAGACCTCCCTCTACTCACCTATTCCTCCTTTCTCCCCAGGTGAGGACGTTATAGATGCCATCTTGGCACACCTGAATACTACAACTCGTTCTCGAAAACAAGTCATCCACCAGTTGGTTCGACTTGGACTGGCTGACAGCGTCAAGGATTTCCAAAGACAAAGGCAGGCATCCTTGGAGAACTAGGGATTTTCTTTCCCTTCTCTGTGCTCCTTTCCTCTGCTGATCTTGATTTTTCCCCAAACAGGAAGGGGACAAACTTGGTTTTGTGGACAGAAGATCAGGAGTTAGAATTGCAGCGACTCTTTGAAGAGTTCCAGGGTTCTGATGGTGAGGTGATGGTTGGGCAAGGGTCTCTGGAAGGGGTGGCCACATAATCTGATTCCTTCTGCCACTGCTTTTCATCCTCCACACTAGGTTCGTTGTGCCTTTAAAAAGTATTACAAGCTAATTATCTCAACTAATACAAATGTAATAAGCAATAAAACTATATAATCTGAATGAATTACATTTTCAAGAGAACACTTTGTGTCATCTTGATCTCCTTCCATCTTTGTACCTTGGAAGTTTCGTTATACTCACAGTCGATGCATGTGTTCTAATTCTGCTTTCTTCTATTTGTATAACAAGTATTTCTATATTTGTGTTTATCATCTTTACCACTTTTAGTGGCATAGTAGCACTCATGATACAGTGGAAAGCGCTCTGGCTTTGGAGTGAGAATCTCTACTCTGCTCCTTCCTACCTGTGAGACCTTGGGCAAGTCATTCTTCTCATCTATAAAAAGAGTGGCTTGCAGGGCAGCTAGGCGGCGCAGTGAATAGAGAACCGGTCCTGAAGTCAGGAGGACCTGAGTTCAAATCTGGCCTCAGACCAAACATTTGACATGTACTAGCTGTGTGACCCTGGGCAAGTCACTTAACCCCAATTGCCTTGCCAAAAAGAGGGGCTTGGACCAAATAATCTCTGAGGTCTCTTTTAGCTATAAACATATGAACCCTATTCAACTACATTGACACATCATAGTTTATTCAGCTATTACTTAATTATTAGACATAAAGATTGTTTCCAGCTTTGAATACCATGAATAAAATGTGAAATCTTCCCTTCTGTCATTTGAATAAACAAGTAAAAAAAACCCCAACATTTATTAAGCACTAACAATGTGCAGGTTCTGGGGATACAAACAGAAAAGTAAGATAATCAATTTCAACGAAATTTATTCAATGCCTACTATGTTCAGGCTACTGTTCTAACTATTGGGGGAGAAATAAAGCTTAGTTAAAGCCCAGCCCTGGCTTTAAAGAGCTTACAGTCTAGTAACAGAATATTCTGCACATATAACCATAATACAGAATAATGCATGTTAAATGCTTTAGATAGATTCAAAACATCATTCTTTATGCAGTGTGAAGGAAAAGTTGTATGAATCATTGTCATAATTGCTAACATTTATGTAGCATTGTAAGGCTGGCAAAATGCTTTCCATGCATTATTTTACTTGATCTCTGCAACAACCCTGGGAGGCAGGTGCTACAATTATCCCTATTTTTCAGATGGGGAAGTTGAGGTTGAGAGACAATAAATGTCTAATATGGAATTTGCATCTTATTCTTTCTAACTCCAAGTTCCATGTTCTTTCCAGTAGGCCAAGTTGCCTATTACTTATAGGGGATCAGGAAAGGCTTCGTGGAAGAGGTGGCATTTGATTTGGGCTTTAAAGGATAGGTAGGAATCCAATGAGTGAAAACAAGTGAATACATACAAGGTGTGTAGAACAACATGAACAGAACCATGGGAAAGTGCAAGTCACGTTTGGAAAGTAGAGAGTAGTCCATCTACTTTTGGACTAGTTTTGGCGTATGGTGAATAGTAAGAGGGTAAGCCACAAAGTAGGTACACAAAATAGGTAGTACCAGATTGTGGAGGGCCTTGAACAACAGGTCAAGGAGTTTGAACTTTATTTAGGCAGTACAGAACTATGAACTTTTGGAATGGGGGGTGATATGACCAGATAATGGATAAAGCACTGGGCCTTGAGTTCAAATGGAGCCTCTGGTACCTACTGGCTGCGTGAACCTGGACAAGTCAGTCCAGTTTCCTCAACTGTAAAATGGGGATAAGAATAGGACTTATCTCACAGGCTTGTTCTGAGAATCAAATGAGATACTATTTGTAAAAAGTGCTTAGCACAGTGCCTGGCACAGAATAGGTGCTTTTGAGATATACACATTAGGAAGTCTAGTAGCAGGATGGAAGACGATTGAAGACAGGAGACTAGACAGGAATCATCTAAAAGAGGCTGTTTTGGGACTCCAGATGGGTAGTAATGGAGGCTCATGTTGAGTTCTTGGCAATAAAAAAAAAAAGAGATGTGAACAGAAAGAGAAGATTGGGGGGAGTTGTAGAATTTGGTAATCATTGGATGTGAAAAATAAGGAAAAGGACAGAGCTAAAGAAGACACCAAATTTTCAGATGTGGGAGATTGAGTAAATACTGCTGATAGAAATAGTGAAGTCAAAAAGGGGGATTTAGGAGGAAAGATTTGGGAAAGAAAGCTCACTTTGGGATTGATAGTGTTTGAGATCCATTGGAACATGGAGGTAAAGGGATGCTTGGAGTCAGTTAGAATTGGTGGTCTGTAGTTTGGAGAAGAGGTCAGAGTTGGATGCGTAGTTCTGTGAGTAATCTACATACAGGGGGTAGTTGAAACCATGGGAATTAATGAAATTGTGAAGGGAAAGAATGCAAAGAGAGAAGAAAACAGGGCCAAGTGAAAAACCTTGAGGAATAGCCAGCTTAAGGAATCTGAAGAAGATGAGTAGAAAAGAGAATATGAAAGAAAAACCAGAAGATTTATGTCTCTTACACTCAAAAAAGGAGAAGAGATCTGGAAAGAGAAAAGGTAGTCGTCAGTGTCAGATGCTGAAGAAAGGTCAGGAAAGTTAAGGATGAAAAAAGGCCATTTGGATTTGGTGATGGGGAAGCCATTTGTGATGTTTGGGAAAGCAGTAGAGTAGTGGAAGGAGAAACCAGGTTGCAAGGGGTTAAGGAGAAGGCATGTGGTGAGGAACAGAGAAGCATCTGGTATAGAAGACTTTTTAAAATGTAGGGGCAGGCTATATCAGATTGTATGCCGTCTTGGGGGGGGGGAAGGGGGAGAAAAATTTTCAACTCGAAAGCATATGGAAGTGATTGTTAATAAATCAAAATAAATTAATAAAATAAAAAAAGTAAAATGTAGGGGCAGGGGGAAGAGAAGGCAGTAGCAGGGTACTGGAGGAGGCTAGAGGGGATGGGCTGGAGGTCACAGGTAGAGAGGAGGGATTGGCCTTATCAAGGAGTGCACATACAAGAGGTTAGGAAGAAAGTAGGTGATGATGCTGGGGAAAAAGGCAAAGAATGGAGTAGGAGCATAGTCTGGGGGGGGAGGGGTGGTAAGTCAGCTGGTCTAAGGGTGTGTGGTAGAGGCGCAGGTGCAGGCGATCTTTTGAGAAGGGGAAAAAAGGTTTGGAACAGTCAGTGTGGGAAATCTGATAGACATAGATTAGAAGGATTATTCAGTAGCAGTGAGAGCTCATGTTCTGCATTTTGGGAGGAAGTGGGGTCAGGTCAGCCTTCTCCTACAATTCTCTGGTCTCTTGTTCTCCTCCATCTCCTGCCTCTGGGCCTCCTCCCTATCTGTCCCTTTCTGCAGATGTCCTGGGTCACATCATGAAGAACATCACAGCTAAGCGCTCACGGGCCCGGATAGTGGAGAAACTTCTGTCCCTGGGGCTGGTTGCAGATCGACGAGAGTTGTATAAGAAGCGCCAGAGGAAGCCTGTGACTTCCAGTCTTGTAAGCAGCATCTTGGTACAGCTCCCACACTGAGCCCTTATCATCTCATGGCTTCTTGGCTGTTCCCACGTCCTCTGGTGAAGTGGACAGGAATCAAGGTCCCACTCAGTAGCCTCCAATTTTCTCCATGTTCTAGCCCAACTTATGACTGTTTTCTTCTAGCTGGATGGAAAGGATCATCTGAAGGACCGTGACCAGGAGGATCTGGAGGAAAATTGTGAGGAGGACGAAGAGGGCCCAGAGGCAGAAGCAGCCCAAGACACCTCAGTCCACATACCCCAAAGCCTTAGGCAAATCCTGCAGGAGGAAGGTAAGGAGACTGGGGCGGGAGGGTAGGGTGAGGGGAGGCAAGGGCTTGTGGGGGTGGGGGGGAGGCACATCATTTTCCCTTTACCTCCTCAGACTTCTCTGCCCCCATCCTCTGGCTCCAGAACTGCCTGATTCGAATAGCTGATGACCGAGAGGAAGATGGTGAGTGGGAAAGGTTGGGGAATATTTGAGGAGTAAGGCACTGAAGCCTTCTGGGGACCTGAGTCAAGCATGAAGGGGACAGTCTTGGTCTGTCCGTTCTGCTCCTAGGCTGCACCCAGGCAGTGCCCTTGGTGCCTCTAACAGAGGAGAATGAAGATGCAGTGGAAAACCAGGACTTCCAGAAGCTGTTGAGGAAGTTGGGAATTCGGCCTCCAGCCTCAGAACAGGTGAGTGCCTTGCTTGGGGAGGGACTGATGCTTTTCTTGCCCTTTTCTCCATTCAGACTGTCGGCCTTAACTTTCCTGACCACTTAGGAATCTTTCTGGCGAGTCCCAGCCAAGCTGAGCCCTGCATTGCTGCGGAGGGCAGCAGCTTCTTTGAGTCAGGCAGAGCCTGAGCCACAGTCTGCAGACCGCCCAGAGCAGGGGCCCAGGAAAGAGAAGCTGGCTCTTGCTCCAGGGTCCCCCATGGCAGCCAAAAAACGGAAGAATGATCTAGGGTCATCAGGTAACAGGTCTGGGATTAGGGGACTGGTGGGGGCACTGAAGTGGTGGGCAGGCCCTCAGTCCTTTACTCGTGTGCCTCATTGGACCATTTCAGAGGGGGAAGCTGATAAGGAGCCATTAAGTTCTGGGCCGCAGAAGCTACAACTGCTAGACAGTGATGGGGAGCAGGAGAAAAATGAAAGCAAAAACAAAGGTAGGAGTGTGTGTCTGTTTGTCTATCTGTGTGTAATACCTTCCTCCTGTTCTTTTCTCCATTACCCTGTATGTGTGCCTGTACCTTTGTATAAT